CTAGATATGGATCAGTATTCCTATTCACTCTAAACCTTACGCTCTAAAGTCAAAAATTGAGAGGCAAGTCAAAAATACATATGTCAAACGAAGGTATAATTGAGTTGCGTCAATCCGTTGCTATTAGTTTTGTGCTTTAATGCTAATATTAATAAAGGCACTATAAAATGTTGATAGTTAACTAATTAGCTAACAAAGTCTTACTACTTTTTGCGGTAGCAAAACTGTAATGCGACGCTTGTTTTTATTACATTTTACTACAATAATTGTTTAAAAATGGTCTATTATATGCGTCAAGTCATGCAACATGCATATACAAACAGTGGAGAGGTAAAGGTCAAAACAACCGTTGACTGCACGGATTCCTACTACGCCACACCGCTTCTTACTACGCTGATCGCTACGATCACTACATGGAGCGACACTTTGTGTCATTCACAAAACTGATGTTCTGAGTCTGGGTGTTCTTTGTGTCCGTTTCATGTATGTTTGTAAAGTCCCCCGACAGGTTATATTTCTAGTGCGAGAGTTATCTTTTCAAAAAACAAACAAACAAACTAACAACAGTCTACTTGCTGCAGAACCGAAACTGAAATATTTATTTGTGCAAGTTTTTCAGAGTTCTTAACCAAATTACCGAAGATTGTTTTAAAAGCCATATTTAAAGTCTCATCTTACGGTGGATTAAAATTTATAAAAGTTATCACATGATCACAGGCCAAGATGAGTGCAAAAATAATCTTTTTTCCCTTTTCCACTTTCAAGACCTATTTATACAGTTAGTTAGTTATAAGTCAAGCTAAAAGCTAAATCTAAGGATAAATGAGGATTTATGTATGTCGTCATTGAGGTGATAAAAATTAATGCAAACAACCGATCTTATGTAATTCATTCGAGCATGAGTAGTTACCGTCTGACAGAACGTATGAAAAATTATTAACCTTACGTTTACTGTAAAACATGTATATAAATAAAAATGAATCATCAAAAGGTATGTACGCGCATAACTTCTGAACGACTGCACAACATTGCATAATTCTTTTTTTATTGTTCGTTGTTGTTATCAGGACAAGGCTTTTATGAAAGAAAAAAACAAACAGATTAATAAAAATAATTTGATAGACTCACTTAATAAAAATAATTATAATGATTAATTTAAATTAGATTCTAATTGATTATAATTCAAGTTTTAATAGTTGGGACTGTTGCTCAATAACCTAGCTAGGAGGACAGCGCTTTGACCACTGATTGTATGCACTACCTTGAAACCATTGTGTATTAAAATTATCTTACGAAATAAAATAAAAAAATATTATTATTATTTAGTGTTGTCTTTATTTACCACAGTATGGATCTATATACGACTGTTGGTAAGACCTTGGACTACATCTTTAATTGTATTTACTACTAGCTAAACTGCGAACTTCGTACGGCCATTATTTTATTTTTGTGAATATTTTCGAAATTCCTGAAAGACTTTTTTGGCGGTGTACAGTCGACTAAGAAAATGTCACACTTCTGGTAAATTCAGATAAGTTGGATTATCAATAATTCCATAAATTGACATTGAATTTTCGAAAGTGATTAACCTGTCAAATTAAAAAGTACCGGAAATGTAACACGTGTAAACAAAAAATGTAACAAAAAATGAGACAAAATCTTCCGTTTACAATACGACCATGTCATGAATTAAAATTATTAAAGAGAATCGAGTTTAACCTATTGTGATGCCTTGTAATTTACAATATTTTTCGCCTTTCCTTCTGAAGAGAAACCGAGTCTCGAGCACGTGACGTACAACTGCCCGTGCGAAAAATATGGCAATTCAAGGTTTCTTCTACACGCTTCTAACGATTGGCCTTGGAATTTATTAATAGTCATTGCGAATACAAGGCAAGAGTTATTGCCTGTTTTATGATTCTCTCTCCTACCTGAACGATCGATAGCTATGTTCAATTTGCAAATAGAATAGTAGGAATTAAATTTGATATTATAAAAAAAATGAAGTTAAACCGACTTCAAAGAATACTTAGTCCTTCGGCAATCACTTAACTTATATTTACACTGAATCGTTGAATCACATCTTACATATTTTTATAATTCATTATTAAATTACTGTTAAAGCAAACATCGTTGACATCCTCAGGGTCTAAGTCTAAATCTAAGGTCGTGTCCACCTTGAATTCTTAAGTTGAACGACTCAGTAGAGAGCTTAATTGGCAAGCACGAGGTCTCAGCGGGTGATAGCTCCATGTGGAGCAGGATTTGGTACGTGATAGCTTTTATCTCACAGAGAGCAAATCTTGAACCTGCAATAAAATATCGTTGTTAGAAACATTCGTGAAAATCACAAATATGTGAACACATTTTGTCCAATGCTGCAAAAAAAGAACAGAATTCTGGCTTTTTGATAAGTCGTTAAAAGTATCTCATAAAGTACAATAATGAAATTGATTACATTTTTAGTAACTCACCTATACAGTTCCTTGGTCCAACCCCAAAAGGCATGTAGGCGAATGGATGAATTTTATGCTTGTTCTCCTCAGAAAAGCGCTCAGGATCAAACTTGTCAGGGTTAGGAAAGTACTGTGGATCACGGTGGAAGGCGATTGCCGGAATCTGGACTCCTGTTCCTTTTCGAATCTATAAATGTTATTATATTTCAAATTTAAAAGCAGTATACACACGACAGAAGATAATACACGTCATAAGTATCATCGATCTACTAATGGATTTAAGTGGAGAAACAGTTTTTTTTTAATACTATTCCTGTGGACTTGCTTTACACTAGCATATATATTTGTATTTAGTCATCGTTAATAAACATTTGAGTACATGGGTTTGATGTGAATGAACCCATAACCCGTTCAGAGTCTGAAGTGAAACCATTAAATATTACATGTTTTAAGGATGGCAAATAATCATGTCTTACATGGCCAAGACCTGAGGATCTAATAAATCCTTTCAAATATGTTCTTTGACTTCTATGTCAAAGAATAATTTTGAATATAGATATTCTTCCAGTAAAATAATAGTACCGCAAAAATAGGAATATTTCTTACAATAAAATCTTTATCAGCATTCTTGTTAGGTCTACCCAAGTTGTAATCTTTAGTGCACTGTCTGTCTAGAGCGATGCCTGGCGGCCACAGCCTTAATAGTTCTGAAATTAAAAATGACCATATTAATTAAAAATAACAATATTTTCATGACACACATATGACACATCTAGTAAATAAAATAAAAATAAATAGTCCTCCATTTGTTTTCATTTAGTTTACTCGTTTATTAATTCATTCTCTAATTTTTATTTCCCTTTCATTAAAAGAAATTTTAAATTTAAAAAAATTGTATTCGTCTTACCTGACGTGACCATATCAAGATACGTCATATTCTGCATCGAATTCAGGTCAAATTTACCCCCATTTTTATGGTGATGATCTCTTATTTCTTTTGCCAATCGATCTTGTACATCAGGATTACTAGCCAGCTCGTATAGCAGAAAGCTCATTCCAGAAGATGCGGTTTCAAAACCAGCGACGAAAAACAGCACTGCTTGAGCAATTAGATCATCGTCTGTCCATACTGTAAAGATATAACTTATGTTTATTTATATTTATATTTTTGGTTAGCCGTATCGGATTTTAGACAATCAAGTTGCAGTATAACATTGCTCCTTTAAAGAAATTAATTGTTTCCTTTAGATACCTCTATTAGTTGTCTTGGCACCGACTGCAGATTCTTCTACTGTCGCAAACCCTGCAGCCTCGTCATCAGATTTAGCCGTCTCGTGTGTTAGTTTTCCTGAATAAAAAGTAAAATTACTAAAATAAAGAAGCAAGTACCAAACCTTTGCTCCGCAGAGAACTTAGGGTCCATTGCGGACACATAGTTTACACATACGGGATCAGGTTATCCTTTATATTACTATTTAATATTTTATTCAAAATACAGAGAAAAGGTTTCCAGCATAGAAAGGAACCTAAAAATTTTATTGTACTCGTAAATTACCTTTTTTAGCTTCCATGAGCAAATGTATCATGTCGGGCCTAATGATATGTTTTAATTCGCGGTCTTTCATTGTGTCCAATACCAAATCACTGAAAAAATCTTTGGATCTTTGTGACAAGAAATCCCATCTCAGGAACTGAAAAAGACATAATAATCTGAAAAAACTACCATCGACATCAATGCATCTAAATCACAAATTATGATTGAAAATACAAAAAATGGAAAATATAGTTTCTGTTTTCCTAAATTCTCTAACCTCAAATTACTTTAGTTATACTTTAATGAAACATTTATGCATCTAAATAAGAAAAAAATATCATCCGTTCACAAACGGCGAAAATATTGCCTGACATACATACGTAAATTGAAAACCTTATTTTGAAAGTGATTTGATTTCTTGTTAGATCCAGCAAGGTTTGGGTTTCAAAGAAATTTTACTGAGTGGCTTAGATTATTTGTTCCTTTTTAGCATTTCAATCAGTAACAGGTAGAATTTTTGAAGAACATGAGTTCACAAAAACTAAATTATCTGATGTTTGTTTTTCCTTATATATATTTATTACGTCTTTTATAATCGGATATTTTTTTTATTTTGATAAAATCGAGTAGGTACTAAATTGTCTGAGCTCACAGACGGTCACACTGATAATGAGCGGTTGATAACAAGAGGTTATTTATCATTGTTATGTTATATAAAAATAAATATTGTTTTATGTGTAGATTTGAGTTTATCAATGACAACAACAACAGTTCAATAGCCATCAGATACTTCAACATTTATCATATATCTGACTGCAAAGACAGGGTTATTTTTTGTACATCTAATTTTTATATTTACGTCTTGAAATGTTTATATTCTTTCTCTTTGAGTGAGCTTTGTTGAGGGGTTCGCAGTTTCTAATTGCGGTTTGAAATACTTACAGCGACCCTGATTTGCTAGAATGAATGCTTGCAAGCCCAATTCATTCCTATAAGCAATATCTCTTTATATCTATTTACAACTGGTTTCCTTGTCATCGTTTTTTTTTCAAACTCTCAATTATACACATCAATTTACGGGGGACTTTACAAACATTCATGAAACGGACACAAAGAACACCCAGACTCAGAACGACAATTTGTTGATCACACAAAGTGTCGTCCCATGTGGAGGTCGAACCCACAACACTCAGCGTAGTAGAAAGCGGCATGACGACTGCTTAAACCACTACGCCTAACTACTACGTGCAGTCGAAATGTTAACGTTACGATCACGTTAATTCCTAAACCACTAAGTTAACGAAGATTATATTTGCCTCTGAGTACGTAACTGAGACTAAAATTATTGTCTGCAAAATGCGGACGATTTTATTACTCCGCTGTCTACCGTTTCAGGAATATAGACGGGAGTGTGAATTTATGTTTCCTTTCTTGTCAGTAAGTGTCATGTCAGTAAACTTTATTAGTCAGTTAAATAGAGAAAACAGGAATAATTTATAAATAGCTTTAGCGATACGTTGAGCAAAACAACTTACTTTAGCTACTTTAGGCATGTTAATCATTAAGAAAAACATTAGCATTTGACGGAAGCCGAAGGTTGAAGACTCCTTCCCTCGTGCATAGAACTGATTGTCTACGTTCGTATGCGAATCGACCTTCAGACCGAAAGCGCAAGAAGCTATCACGTCATTGGCGTAACGGGTTGTTAGATCTTTGCAGTCAACAGTTATATAGCCCGCTGTAAATAAACAAATATTTTAGTCAAAACTATGCTCCGTACAGGTCAGGCGATTGGCTAAATCCCATCATATCGTCGGAAGTCAATCACAAAACTGTATTACCTTAAAAGTTTTACTAGACTATACTAACAACTAGAAGCTACTATATGGCGAATGCTTGTTCGTTTTAAGGTCACAAAGGTTATTTTACATTGTAAGCACTAACTTCTTGATTCCTTCAGTTTCTCCTTAAGCATTAGCAATCATCTGATCTCCAACTTCTACCATGAAGGGTATCATCACACGTATCTTTGAACTGGTGAACGCCGGACTGAGCGTTGAACGCATGTCCTTCCATTCTTGACCTGTGTAAATTAAAAATAATGACAATATTTAGTGCCGGGCTTAACGATTTAAAGAAATTTCTACTGTCGATTTCATTGGTCAAATAACTTATAACGTGTATATGCTAAGTGTAGAAATGAACTGAACTTATATACATTCTTGTTTTAACTTGTCATAACGACATGTCAATGTACTTTTTATTTTATTACCACATTACAAACTAACTAGTTAACTATTAACAAAATATCCGTCTCCATCCATGATACGTAACAAAATCTCGAATAGTGGATAATGTTACTATTATGCTATAGAAACTATTCATGCGCATAGCTGTACATATTGTTAACCTATATATCTTTGTCCTTGAGGTTTAAAAACAAATACAAACATAGAAACCTAAATATTGATGATACTGGAAGGTCAATTCGTAATAAAAATTTGTTCAAAAATAGGTTTCGATCTACTCTCGATCTTATGAAAGATCTTGTTAGAGTTTTTATGTGAATTGACCTTAAGACCACATGTCTTTAGTAAAACTTACCTTTCAAAGAGAATAGATTTCTAGAAAAGAAGGAGTTGCTCTCGCCGAAAATAGAACGGTGATCGAGGAAAGTGTTCAAAGTCTTTTACTGCTATCTGTTTCGCCAGGTCCAAGTCACGGATCAGTACCATCTCATTAAGAAATTCAAATCTTCCAACGAACCTTAAATAAATCGAATTTTTAGTTTTAAAATTCAAGAATCAAAATCTGTACAAGTTAGCGTTAAAATGACCTAGAATTTTAATGACCTCTCCGTTAAATTTGCTTCCTTATACTTGATAATGTTACAAATTAAATATAAACTAACTTTAACCAAGTCAATATATTGTACCAACGTAACGTGTAACAAAATATGTTACTCGTTTGTCTCGTGTTCTTTGCGAAGGCTGTCTGACATTCATACTTTAGTCCTTCACCAGGGTTACAATGATTATATCGACAATGGAATTTAATAACATACTCGTAGGTACGTCAATACCCGAGATATCATTAATTACTTTATTGTGTACAACGTGTAATGTACTCGTATTATAAATGCGAAAGTTAATTCGTTTGTAACGTTTTGATTTCTTAACTACACACTCAGTCGTCATCAAATTTTCCAAAACCATGTCCCTTAGGCAAATCACCCTTGTTTAAAGGACATAGGGTATCTTTAATCCCGAAGAAGGTAGGAAACAGTTCCTAGGGATAGAAAAAGATACTTTGATTGGAGCAAAGCGTCTTCCCAAAAGTAGTACTATAGGAAGAGTTTTTAAATTTAACCACACCAAGTCGACAGCAGTAATTTTATAAATTTAAGTGTGGTTTTGTTATACTGGCTTCTATTGCCCAAGCAGTATAATCACACTTTGTGTGGTAAATAAGCAACGTTAGAACTTATTTTTCTTATGTACATATGAATACTTATTCATTAATATACTTCAAGCTGAAATTAATATACTTATCAACACAACGTTGTGATTCTCTTACCTTTCCTCTGGAAACTTGTTATACAAATTCAAAATATCGTAAGCAAAGTGGTCCAGGCGTAAAATGACCCTTAACATGTTGCCAAATAGTGGGAGTGGAGTGATGTATTTGACACCATACTTCTTGAACCTTGAATACATTTGACGGAGGTATAACGCAAACACTGCGATCAGCACCACCGTCCATATCAGAAGGATTATCATGATCTAAAATATTATAAATCAATTGTAATAAATGTATTACTATCTCTACTAGTCTTGTACTTAGACAAAAAGAAGAGAGAATGATGGAAGTGAGAAGTGAAATATGTAACGATGGGAAATACGCATTAGCTGATGCAGCACAGATGTACAATTAAATATTGCAAAAAAAACTATTGCGTATCGAAAGTACGTCATATTATTTGTAATATTAAAGTTCAAAATAATACTTATACTAACTTATAGACAACTTTTAACATTAAAATATAACTGTGTTTATTTATTTAACCTAATCTGAAATTCGCTTTTGTTATTTGACAAGATTGTTGCTATTTCTATAAATATGTTTTATGCGATCATTCACGACTCTGCTTTTGACATGAAAAAATACAGTTTATCTTTTTATTCAGTTAATGTAGCATATTACTTAATAAAAAAAAAGTTTTACACATTTCCGTAAACATATTGTAAAAAATTATTTACCTTGTTTTTAAAATAAACGATGCGCACAGAATGAAGATATATCTACGACTGCCTGAAACACAACCGGTAAGGCGCAGGCTCTGAGGCCTCAGTACTGACTGTGTACACACAACGGGGTCTTTTATTGTGATTTATCAACTAACGTACGTAGATAATTACTATAGTGCGTTGAGATAGTGTTGTTTATGTAAAAAGTGTGATTTAGCTGTCAGTTCTCTTTGGTTATGTCAGTCATCTAATTTATAAAATGATTGCTGTTCGTTAGTCTCATTAAATATCGTCAATGGTTGGACAGATTTGACAAATTTTGGTTTGTTTTGGATTTTGGAAAGTTGAAACGAAGAAAAAAAATCGATGAAAATAGTAAAAACAACAATTTTATTTGCCAGTACAAAATGTTCCATCATATCAAACATTTGATACCGTCGTCAGTACAATGAACTCGGATTTCTTCAAATTAAAGAACAATGAAATATACAGCATGCGAATTACCGTGTATTTAGACGTTAAAAATATAAGTAAATATTGTCACTATGACAAAGGAGCATCCACCCCGGTCCAGAGGGCCTTGGTGCGGTGTGGGTTAGTTGTCCCATAGCGTCCCCTGGGCGTCGCCGGCAGGATCCTCATCGACAGCTTTTTGACTATGTTTCTGCTGCGGTCGATCGGGGCACAAGGTGGAAGAATGGTCAGCCGCCCCTCACTGCCCGGCGTGTGAGGCGTGTAATAAGTCCGTCAATCATCAGATGAGGCAGGTGGGCTGCAAGCCTTCTCGCAATTCTCGGCAAACTCATATTCACCTCAGACAAAGTGAGTAAGGCCTTAAAAACATTTAGTAAGTCTACTTCGATGGCACCGGACGCTTTGCCCTCAATTTAATTGAAACAATGCAGCGATGTTTTTGGTTCCCAGGTGGCACACATTATATTACCTATCACTGCCAAATGGGAAACTACCTCAAGAGTGGAAGTAGCCCATGTTACTTTCATATATAAAAAGGGTGATAAACAATCACAAACAGTGGCTGCTAATTGTTGGCCAATCAGCCTCACAAGCATTGTCTGTAGAACAATGGAGAAAATTAAAGCTGATGAACTTAGAACTTTCATGAATACAGAAAACATCATTATCGATGAACAGCATGGTTTTGTTCCTAAAAGGTTTACAGTCTTGAATCTCCTTGTGTGCTTAGTCAAATAGATAAACCACTGGGACAATCATCACCTCACCGATGTTATTTACTTAGATTACGAAAAAGCCTTTGATCGGGTACCTATTAAAAAGCTTATAGCCTAACTTGAACACCTTGGAATTCGTGGGCAACTTATGAAATGAATAAAGGGATTCCCTAAGCAACAGACAATTCAAAATAAGAGTAGGTGAAGCACTATCAGACACTCGTAACGTAGACAGTGGTGTGTCTCAGGGCTCAGTGCTTAGACCGGTCTTGTTTGTGCCAAAAATGTCATTCACTCAAACTTGTCAGTGTTCGCGGATGATACCAAAACTATGGGAGACCCCTAATTTCTCACAACATAGTTCAAAAAGACCTGGAACGTATTATGCAGTGGATGAAAGAATGGTTGATTTCACTCAATGAGACTGATTCTGTGCCTTTCCGGACACGGCTGCTTTGGGAAGTACCTGCACTCGGTCGCTAGAAGGGAATTGAGTCCCGCCTGTCACCACTGCGATTGCAGTGAGGACAGGACAGGTAGTGACAGATGTTTCACCGCGGTCACATCCTTCTGCATAGACGTAATCTCGCAGAAGGAGGCGGCGGAGAGGGCCCGGGAGGTCAACATTTACTCGGACCCAATCCGTCGCCGTCGAACCGGGCGGCGGAGGCACGCTTACCACCGCCTCATGCCGCCCTGAGCGTTGCCGCGGGTGGAAGGGACGAGTTTTCATCTCCACCCGCCATAACAGCCAGCCCCCTTTTTTTTTTTTTTTTTTTTTACGTGTGGAAATCCCCTCGGACCGTCAACCCGCCGGGGCTCTCGTTCGGCGGGGCGGTGTGTCGGACTCGAACCGACTAAAACCACACGGTGTGCCCTCTTTGCGCTTCCAGTTTAGGAGGGGTCCAGGTAGCTATCTTCTTCTGGACCCCTCCCAGCGCCGGCCCGCTCCTGACGCGGGCTCCGTCTCAGTGGACCCTCTCTTTAGGCGGCGTCCGGCACACGCGGACGCCGCCCCCTCGCGGCTGGCCAACTAATGCGGGTGGAGGGGAGAACCCATCCCGTCCACCCGCGGCCACACTCAGGGTGGCATGAGGCGCAGGTGAGCGCGCCTCCGCCGCCCGGTTCGCCGGCGGCGGATCAGGTCCGAGTGGAGGTCGTCCTCCCAGGCCTTCTCCGCCGCCTCCTTCTGCGAGATTACCTCCTCGCAGAAAGTTGCGACCGCGGTAAAACAACTGTCGCTACCGGCCATGGAGCGAATTATGGCCGGTAGCGAGAGATCTGCTCCGATGACTGCAGTGAGGGCCCGGCGCTGCGTCGCCCATGCGGGGCAAACCGCCAGCGTGTGCTGGGCCGAATCCTCACCGCAGTCGCAGTGGTGGCAGGCGGGACTCGATTCCCTCCTAGCGACCGAGTACAGGTACTTTCCGAAGCAACCGTGCCCGGAAAGCACCTGCGTCAGCCGGAAGGAAAGGGTCCCGTGCTGCCGCCCCGCCCACTCGGCGATGACCGGCTGGAGAGCCTCCACGGCGGCGAAGCCAGCGCGTGGAGTCTCCAGCCGGAACGACCATCTCACCATAGTGGCTCGGCGAGCGGCTTCGCGCCACTCGCGCACATCTTCGGACGGAGGGCGAAATCCGCTCTCCGCCCGGAAGTCAGCCACTCGCCGATAAACTTCGGCGAGCACTTCCGCCTCCAAATCCCACGGGGGTGTTCCGGCCAAGGCGCAAGCCGCCTCGGTGGACACCGTGCGGTATCCGCGTATGGCTCTGACCGCCAATATCCTCTGGGGGCGCCAGAGGCGCGCCCTATTCGGGGCGGTCAGAGCCGCCACCCACACCGGTGCACCATACAGCGCCATGGACCGGACAACCCCCGCGTACAGCCGCCTCGTGGGAACACTGGCCCCGCCCAAATTGGGCAAAAGTCGCCCTAGGGCGGAGGCAGTGTCCACCAGCTTCGGACCAAGCTGTCGGAAGTGCTCGTCGAAGAGCCACCTACCGTCTAGGACCAGACCCAGGTACCTCATCTGGGCCCGGACCGGTACGAGGACCGAGCCGACCTCGATTGAGGCGCCGGCGGGTGGACCACGACGGGGCCCATGAAATAATAGGGCCTCCGTCTTATCCAGGGCCACCCGCAAACCCAACGCCTCAATGCGTCCGACCACCAGGGAAACTCCCGTGGCGGCCAGGCGCGCCGCCTCCTGGAAGTTAGCCCCCCGGGCCGTGAGCAAGGTGTCATCCGCGTAGCAGATTACACCCAGCCCGGGGGGGAGACGCCCTCGTAGGGCCCAGTCGTACCCGATGTTCCACAGGAGAGGTCCTAGGACAGACCCCTGCGGAACACCGCACGACATGGCCCTGCGTCTCAAGACGCCATCTCGGTCCTCGTACATGACGGTTCGCTCCTCAAGATAGTCTGCCACCAGCCGCCTCAGGTACTCCGGCACTCCGTGGTAGCGGAGCGCTTCCCTGATGCAGCTGAATGGCAGACTATTGAAGGCGTTGGCGATGTCCAAGGACACCGCCAACACCACTCCGCCGCAGCTCACGGCCTCCTCGGTCACGGCCCTAAGGCGCATCACGGCATCGATCGTCGAACGCCCCTCTCGGAAACCGAATTGGGCGTCCGACAGATCGGGGCCAACCTCGCAAAGGTGCCGGACGATGCGGGCAGAGAGCACCCTCTCAAAAAGTTTGCCCGCCTCGTCCAGCAACACGATAGGCCTATAGGCCGCGACCGAGTCGGCAGGCCGTCCCGGCTTCTGCAGCAGGACCAGCTTCCCGCATTTCCAGCGCTCAGGGAAGCGTCCGGACGCCAGGCTAGCGTCCAACACCCCCCTGAGGTGGTCCGACATGTAGTCGAGGGCTCGGGCCATCACTCGGGCTGGAACCCCGTCCGGCCCGGGGGCGGTGTTCTTGGATCTAATCCGTAGAACAGCCGCCCCCAACTCCGATTCCCTGACGGGCGGAACATCAACCTCGCTGCCCCCGTCGTCTTCGGCTGATGCAGCCATCGACGGGGGTGTGTGCTCCGCCCGCTGCGGGAATAGGCCCTCGACCACTTCCTGCAGGAAGCTGGGCTGGAGAGTCTCCGTAAGGGGGGGGCCCGACGTGCGGAGCTTTTGACGCACCGCACGATAAGGGCGACCCCAGGGGTCACGCTCGAGACTCTCCAGCATCTCCTCTCTACACGCATCCTTGGCGCGGCAGATGGCCAGCCTCAGAGTTTTCCGAGTTTCTCGGTACTCCTCATGAAGCCGGTCCACCTCCTCACCGACCCCGCGGTGACGTCGCCGACTACGGGTGAGGGACCTCCGGCACGTACACAGGCCGCACGGAGGTCCGCCAACTCCTGGGACCACCAGTAGACCTCCTTCCTTGGAGGCCGACAACCACGAACGCGGGGCATGGCCGCATCGCAAATCTGCGTAATCGCATGGCAGAAGCGACCAGCCCCCATGTCGACCTCCTCGGTCGGGGCCTGCGGAGACAGCCAAGAGTGAATAATGGCCGCCTCCTCTAGTAGGTCCCTGTCGAGCTTGGCGACAGCCCACCGCGGGAAGCGGGAAGGGCGCCGCGCCGCGTGACCCCTACTGGGGTCCTGGGACCGGGAGAGCTCGAATCGGATGTACAAATGATCCGAGAGCGTCTCGACCTCTTCCAGGACACACCAGTTCCTTACTCGTGCGGCGACTGCAGGGGTAGCGAACGAAAGGTCCACTATCGACCCCCCCTGCTGTCGCACGCACGTGTTGGTGGAGCCTCTGTTCAGCAAACAGAGGCCCACCGACGCCGCCCACTCCTCGACGGCTTCGCCCCTGGCGTCCGTCGCAGGGGAACCCCACGCAATGGACTTTGCGTTGAAGTCCCCCAGCACGAGGACGTGCCCAGACACTAGTCGCCGCATCGAGGCCTCCAAGTTGTTAAGGAAGACCTCGAAGTCGTTCAAACTCCGGTTGGGGGAGAAATATACACCATAAATGGTGATTCCCCCCCAATCGGCGGCAACATATCCAGTACCCTTGTCTCTTAGCGACAAGGGCGGGGAATGAGCCGCCGTGGAGCCGACGACTGCCACGGAGCCGTCCCGGTCACCCACCCAGTTTGGACGGGGAGGAACAAAGTAGGGCTCCGCGACTGCGGCAACACCTATCGACCACTGTGCCATGGTTTGCAGGAAGAGATCCTGCGCCGCAGCACAGTGGTTGAGATTCGTCTGGACCAGGAGGTTGGAGACTTGATCCATTACTGGATCGTCTCTACAACCTCCTCCATGGGCGTCGGCGTCGACGCAATATTG